GGTTAAAACAAGGAGGCCACGTATAGCATCCATGATTCGAAAGGATAGTAAAGTGACGATCCGGTGCATACATAACTAGATTGGATTCGGGAAGGGTCGTATTTCAAAACGTAGACTACCTGCCATAATGCAAGTATTAATAATTATTTTGACGATTTAAATCCATAACTTATAAGTTATACAAAAATAATTTTACACTAGTTTAAGGACGAATAAATTAAGTGCCAAAAAGAGCAGCAGCCGAGATGATTCATTATATGTCGACATCAGCTCTGTAGCAAAGTATCTTTTTTAGGTGATGCCATAATATTCCTTTTACTTATATTAAACAAACAAGCACTGCACAATCACTGTGAAGACAACTAGTTCAGCCTACCACAATTCAGATACATTTCAGACGGGAAGTTAGCTTTCTTTTTTTCCCTCTCTTTTGAAATAGTTCGAGTGTAAAAGAAAATTTTGTATTTAGATCTGCAATGGATCACAATAACATTAAAAAAATAAAATTGTATTCTTGTAGATAAAATGAGACATTTTTAATCAGAGATACAAAATTAATATAAAATTGCGTTTATTGGGAGCAATGTACCCTTAATGTGTCATTCTGGATTTAATTATGCATTATATCGAATACTAGGTGAAAAATCAAATAAAACATTTATGTCCAACGCCCACATATGTTTCTTGGAGAATAAGAAAGGGCATTTAATCAAAAGGGCATTTTATAGGTGATAGTCAAGTTTGGTCATTTGGTATTTAGAGCAGCCCACCGTTTAACACGACTCTTTTTCTTTTACACTTGTTTTGTGTACTTTACACTTTTTCATACTCATAACCTATAATATAAAAGCAACTGATATTTTTAGTTCCACAGCACATAGTTGAATCTGGCCAAACACCCCCCAAAAAAGAAGCAGCAGCAAAATCTTGAATCTGTAGCTTTCTGTTGTAACTTGGTAAGCTCTTTTTTTCTGCTCCATTTTTGCTTCTAAGACTTGTACAAATACTTGGTTTGTTGTAAAGTTTTTATTTTTTTGTGTTCTTTTCTTGTTTTTGGTCATTTGGGGCTTTGATTTAGTGTTCTTTTTGCTGATCTGAAGTATCAGATTGAGAAACGACCAAAGTTTTTTGCTTTTGATTTCACCCTCTTAGAATCCCTCATTATATTTCTTGGATCCACTTTTGTTAATAGTTCATGAGATCTTTTCATGAATATCTAAAGTTTTAATCTTTTGGCTTTTCAAAATTATTCACATGGTTTTTTTTGCCAATTTCTATTTTACCATCTGAGAAAGTTTTATGCTTTATTCTTAGCCATGTTGATAAAGTTGGAAGTACGGTAATTTCTTAAATCATACAGTAGTGAAGTTTTGAACATACAGTTGAATGAATGTCCTAGGAATTTTAACCTATTTGTTGTTTCTTATTCACTTGTATGTAAAGTTAATGGAATATACAGGGGATTTCATCTTTGACTTTAGTCAATCTCGGCCGCTATTTATTATTGTGTTTCTAGTTGCCACAATTTTCAATAACGAGCAAATCAGATCTAAGGAATCAAGATCCATTTTTGCAACTAGCACTTTCTTGCCACAAATCAATAAAATGTTTACTTATTAACAGTGGCAGAGCCAAGATTTTCACTAAGGAGGTCAAAATATATAAAAGTAAACTCACGAAGAAGCCAAGAGTGTCAATATATAATGTATATACATAATTTTTTCTTTATCTAGCTACACAATGTAATTTTCCGACGAACCCTTGAGTACATGTGGGTCCGCCATTGCTTATCAAAGTGTTTTCCGTAATGAGCTATAGTTATATGTGTTTCTGAAAAAGAGTGAGTTTTGTCCTTTTGAGCAGATATATATAGGATGGCGAACATAGACATAGCTGGAATCATGAAGGATCTCCCAAATGATGGTCGTATCCCGAAGACCAAAATTGTTTGTACTTTAGGGCCAGCTTCTCGATCAGTGCCAATGCTGGAGAAGCTCCTTCATGCTGGAATGAATGTTGCCAGGTTTAACTTTTCCCATGGGACCCACGAGTACCATCAGGAAACCTTAAACAATCTTAAGATTGCTATGCAGAATACTCAGATCCTCTGTGCTGTCATGCTTGATACCAAGGTTTGGTTTTGATGCATAGTTTCGTTTATCTGTTATTTTCCTTGTATTTCAACTTGGTTCTTCTGCAGCTGGTTTTGTCATTTGTTACTTTTTCTGTTTTTGATGTTTAGGTGGTAGTATCTTGAAATCCCTCGCAAGCTAGGTTTATTTTACTGGCAACAGTACATAACTGATCTTTTAAATATGATAGTCAAATGTCAGGAAATCTGAATTATCTTTTATGTTACCTTCTCAAAAAAAAAAATCCGAATTATCTTTTCTCAAGGTGCATTTCTTTCCACAATACTTTGTTTTTATTTATTATCTTTTAGTTTGACAAGTCTTTTGTCTATAAAAATGGAGAAGGATAAAGTAATTTTGAGCTGGCCATAATTTTGGTGTGGCATTTGCTTGAAGATATACCTCAACAAGGTGTCCAGGTCAGCTAAATTAGAGTATAATAAGAGTAAAGTGAAGGTGATTCACAGAAAAACGCGTATTTTGTTTAAAGTTTCATTAGCAAGTGGCAAATTTGAAATCTAAAGGACCATATTTCCTACATAGTTTGGGGAGAAAGAGACCGTTATGATCTTGTTTTATGTGGTACTAAGCAATTCCCTTCCGTTAGTGGTGGTGAAGTGCATTATTTCGATTGGATTAGTCTTTGTTAACCACTAGATAATAAAATAATATTTGTAGAAAAGTGAGTATGGAGCCTTTGTTAACCAATTACCTCTGCTATCCGACAATTACTTTTTTTCCAGTATGGAGCCTTTTCACACGTTAATACGATCTCTTTGTGGTTTTCTTTATTTTGTGCTTGTTCTTAAAGCCTCTTATTCCGTTTACGAGGCATTCCAGCCTCCAGCAAACATTCTTAGCTTTCTCCTCATTTTGCATATATGTTAGTAAAAACGTTGATCTTCTATTGACTATGGCCTTACGGTAAAATACAAGTTAAGAAGATTAAGTGCTGTAGATGGTAGATTTCGAAGATGATGAAAATTTAATTTTTGACAAAAGAAAGAAAATACATGTGAAGGCTGAAAGATGACTCAACATGTGAAGAAAATGCACAGTTGTATAGTTCACTTATCCACATTCTACTACCAAGCTTTCTCGATGGTCTCACACATGGGTATTTTCTCTTTGCACAAAAAGATTAAATGAAATAAATAAGATTTTTCTGTTCTATTTACGTCTCTTTTATTGTTACAAAAGCATTCTTCTTTTCCTTCTTCCAAACTAGCCAAAAACTGCACAATGGGTATTCGTCTGAGAGCTCCAATGCATAATTGTCTCATCTACAGTTATTTGTAACTCCCATAAAATAATTAAATATCGAAAAATAAAGAATTCAAAGCTACTTTAAGAGTTACTTTTCTTATATTAGGTGGTAGCTTTATTGGTTAAGGGAAGTTAGACGGCTTCTATAGAGTGGTATCTCATACATTGTGTGACTTGGACTTGTACCAAATGATGCAGCATTTTATACAAATATACAAGGGCTTGAGAAATATTATACTCAATAATTCTTGGGCAGGGTGTTGCACTGTTTTCATGCAACCATAGTTTTGTTTTAGGATAAACTGCATGTGTATACTCATAACTTCATACATTTTCTGTGCTATGTCATACATTTCTATGTCTGTATTATCTAATTCAGAATCCAGTTACCATTTTTGCTCTTTATTTCCTTGTTTCTAGAAACTGCTGCATTGTTCCTGGGTTCTCGATGGTTAATATTAATATTATCCTAAATGATGCTATCATGACAATTCAAGAATACTGGTTAAGACCTTGCCTTTATTCTGCATGTACGAGTATTCTGTAGCTTCAATTTGCTACGTAGGTGCTGAACTAACATACATTTTTTTCAGGGACCTGAGATTCGCACTGGTTTCTTAAAGGATGGAAAACCAATTCAGCTGAAAGAAGGCCAAGAAATCACTGTGTCTACAGACTATGACCTAAAAGGAGATGAACAAACAATCACGATGAGCTATAAGAAGTTGGTAGTGGACTTGAAGCCGGGCAATACCATCTTGTGTGCAGATGGTACCATAACCCTTACTGTTCTGTCATGTGATCCAGCGGGTGGAACAGTGAGATGTCGCTGCGAGAATACTGCCACCTTAGGAGAGAGGAAGAATGTAAATCTTCCGGGTGTGGTTGTGGACCTCCCAACACTTACAGAGAAGGATAAGGAAGATATACTAGAGTGGGGTGTTCCTAACAACATTGATATGATTGCTCTTTCATTTGTGCGCAAGGGTTCAGATCTTGTCAATGTTCGCAAGGTTCTTGGTCCACATGCCAAGCACATTCAATTAATGTCAAAGGTATGCAGAGTCATTTAATCTTTTATATTTAGAAGGTATGGTTGAATTTTGAAACACATGCATTGCTTAGGAGAAAAGAACATAAAACATGGCGATGGATTATGTAATCTAAATTAACATTTTAGACTTCTTCCCAAATATTTGACTGCTAACTAGTTGTGGCATCNAGATATACTAGAGTGGGGTGTTCCTAACAACATTGATATGATTGCTCTTTCATTTGTGCGCAAGGGTTCAGATCTTGTCAATGTTCGCAAGGTTCTTGGTCCACATGCCAAGCGCATTCAATTAATGTCAAAGGTATGCAGAGTCATTTAATCTTTTATATTTAGAAGGTATGGTTGAATTTTGAAACACATGCATTGCTTAGGAGAAAAGAACATAAAACATGGCGATGGATTATGTAATCTAAATTAACATTTTAGACTTCTTCCCAAATATTTGACTGCTAACT